GCTCACAGCAACCTCCAACTCCTGGGCTCCAGCGAGTCTCCTGCCTCCGCCTCCCAAGTAGCTGGGACCACAGGCGCCCGACACAACGCCCGGCTGTTTTTTGGTTGCAGCCGTCATTGTTGTTTGGCGGGTCCGGGCTGTGGATTCAAACCCGCCACCTTAGGTGTACATGGCTGGCGCCTTAGCCAGTTGAGCTATAGGCGCCGAGCCGAGTTGTTAACTTCTAAGGGAGAGACATCTTCAGGGTGCTGTGTTCCCTATCAGTAACTGGGATGTTTATTTTGTGGTCTGGAGTAAGATTCTCTCTCTTTTTTTTTTATTGTTGGGGAATCATGGAGGGCACAAAGAACCAGGTTACACTGCTTGCATTTGTTAGGTAAAGTCCCTCTTATAATTGTGTTCACCCCTACACATCTTCCCTTTCAGCTCCTTGCATCTCTCCAGCATTCTAAGTCATTCACACCAGAAGTAACCGTGTAGAATGATCAAAGATAATGGATGAGAAGAACACCATCTCCTCCATAATCCTACGTGGCCCCAGGAGATGATACTGCGTAGTGGTTAAGAATAGAAGGCAGATTGAGCACTCAGAACTCAAGGCTGCCCAAAGGGAAAACTCAGGTTTCCCCCATCCTGAAATAAACATAGATGAACGCAAACCCAAAATAATGCACCTCTCATGGCAGGATTGTGTGCAGACTTGTGTTTTCAAGTCAAACACACCCAAGCTTCAAACTCTGGTCTGCCACTTGAGAAATGTGGGCAACTTCCCTTGCTTCCCTCATCTTTGATCACACGGGGGTGATAATAGAGCCCCCTTCAGAGCGATGGAGTCAAGATAAATAGAAGAGTATAAAGCACTTAGTGCAATGGCTAAAATAAAAGTGCTTGATAGATGATTTCTATTATTAATGTTGTTACAATTAATGATCCGATCTATGGCCAGCTATTTGCTGCAAGATAGAAATCTTTGCTTTCCTCTCATATTTTTTTCTTCCGCCAAAGGACAGAGAAATGTAGAGCAAAACCAAAAGTGATAGAACTACTCAAAGCTAGTTCAATGCGATTTACTTTGTAGGTCTCCGTGGATACGAGTGTCATCCCCCATTTTCATTTTGTAGCTCTTTCTTCAGCCTATTCTCCTAATGATTGTGTGTATTTTTTTTTTTTTAGGTACGTCTTTTCTGTATAATTGCTCCCAACCCCACTTTGTGTAAGCATGAAGATTAAGTGGACAAAGACAAATTCAGTTAAGCCGCAGGCTTGGGTGACCGGCAATTTTTCTTGGGGAGCTGAAACCACACATCTCGAGGGTAGGGACGAGCGTGCAGGACGCCTCTGAACGGGAGGGAGGCAGGATTTGAGGATAAATCACGTGACGAACTGAGCCCTCCCCTATTAATCTTTTATTCAGAAACAGACACTGTTTTAAGGGGAAATTAAAGGCGATCAATAAGCTGGCTTGCCTGGGCGGCTTCTGAGCACAAGATGCAAATATCATTCCAAATTCTAGATTCCAAAGAGATTGCTGCATTGATATGTTAATAGTCTCCTCGAGTTTCTGTGACCTCAGCTCCTGGCAGGGCATGAAACCATACTTACAGGAAACAAAAGGGAAGCAGTTGTAGAATAAACATTCGCTAAGTGGACTTTGACAGTAAACCCCAACTTGTCCTGTGCTAAATGATGCAATTCTCTGCCAGCCAGGTGCTGACGCAGAGAATGCTTAATATGTTTATATGTTTAAAGAGCTGCCACGACCGGACTCTTTATGGGGTATCACCTGACCTCTCAGCTGCATGCTGACGGTGTCCAAGATGTGAGCAAGGCCTCAGTCAACACTTCTATTTGTTCTTTTTTTCCATCATACCCTTCTCAGCACTTGGTCCCATGCACGTCTCTGCATGATCTCAGCAGGTGCCCAGCAAATATTTTGGTGTTGTCATCCCAAATAAAGGCAACTCTTGGCAAGTGGAAATAAACAAAATCCCGTGGCCTACACGTCAAACATGATTACCTAGGTTGGTTACTTCTGTAAATTCAGAGTCATCAACCAATCAGAGAATACTTACTCAGCGCCTGTCCTGTATAAGATACAGCACAAGGGGCGCTGGGGATACAGAAACATGCTGAGCAAGGAGCTTATATTTTTAGGAACAGATGAGTAATAAACAATTTTTAAAATAACGATAAACTAGGTTTTGGTGAGTGCTATGAAGGATGAAACCAGTGTATGAGAAAGAGAATAGCTGAGGGGGTAAGGGAGGGCCTTTCCTTAGAACTCACGTATGTATTGAAACTGAGGAAGGTTACGACTCTGCAGAAACAGTGTCCAGGCAGAGGAACAGTAAGTACAAAGGCCCTGAGGTGGGCAGGGGCTTGTTTTTGAGAATCAGAAAGTTGTCCAGCATAGCTGATTATGGTGGATGATACTATGTCTCCCCACCAACCAAGAGCCAGATCATGCAGGAAGACTTTATTAAGAAGTGTAATAGTCTGGCTCAGCGCCTATAGCTCAACCGGCTAAGGCGCCAGCCACGTACACCTAAGGTGGCGGGTTCGAATCCCCAGCCCGGACCCGCCAAACAACAATGATGGCTGCAACCAAAAAATAGCCGGGCGTTGTGGTGGGCGCCTGTGGTCCCAGCTACTTGGGAGGCGGAGGCAGGAGACTCGCTTGAGCCCAGGAGTTGGAGGTTGCTGTGAGCTGTAATGCCACGGCACTCTGTCCAGGGGGACAGCTTGAGGCTCTGTCTCAAAAAAAAAAAAAAGAAGTGTAATAGTCAAAAAATTAGGCCAGGCATGGTGGCTCACACCTGTAATCCCAGCACTTCGGAGGCCAAGACAGGTGGATTGTCTGAGCTCACACGTTCGAGACCAGCCTGAACAAGAGTGAGACCCTGTCTCAAAAAAATAGCTGGGCACTGGCTCGGCACCTGGGGCTTAAGTGGCTAAGGCGCCAGTCACATACACCTAAGGTGGCGGGTTCGAATCCAGCCTGGGCCGGCCAAACAATAATAATGGCTGCAACCAAAAATTAGCCGGGCACTGTGGCAGGCGCCTGTGGTCCCAGCTACTTGGGAGGCTGAGGCAGGAGACTTGCTTGATCCCAGGAGTTGGAGGTTGCTGTGAGCTGTGATGCCACAGCACTCTACCCAGGGCGACAGCTTGAGGCTCTGTCTAAAAGAAAAAAAAAATAGCTGGGCATTGTGGTAGGTGCCTGTAGTCTCAGCTACTCAGGAGGCTGTGGCAACAGGATCATTTGAGCCCGAGAGTTTGAGTTTGCTGTGAGCTATGACACCATGGCACTCTTCTCAGGGTAACAAAGTGAGACTCTGTCTCAAAAATAAATAAATAAGTTTTTTGAATAATAAATTTAAAATATACTGTATGCAAATCCCAAAGACACGTCAAAGTGTGTTATTTCACTCCCTTAAGGACCCAGGTGAGCCCTGAGGTTTGACCAGTCGTCTCCTTGAAGCAAGTGTTCCTAAGCCAGTTCTCTCCCTGGAGTGATTTTACTTCCACAGGGGACACTGGGCAATGTCCAGAGACATTTTTTGTTGTCCCAACCTGGGAGTAGGAGGGGGCAGTTGCTACAGGCAGATAGCAGGTGGTAGCCCAGGAGGCTGCCACACATCTCCCAGTGCACAGGACAGCCCCACAACAAAGGCCTGTCTTAGACTGTCAGCAGAAAACCCACCCCACGAAGAAAAGCCTCCCTGGTAAGGTGAGATTCTCTGCAAGGGCACTTCCTGCCACGTCCTCCTCCACTGCACTGTGGGCCGGGAAGTGCTCACCCGTCTCCCTGCTGAGATCATGCAGAGACGTGCGTGGGACCAAGTGCTGAGAAGGGTCTGATGGAAGAAAAGAACAAACAGAAGTGTTGACTGAGGCCTTGCTCACATCAGGCTCTGAAAAACTCCTGTCTGCCAATGGAAACATTACCTTCAAGATGGCCCTGCCAAGTAGGTATGTTATTATGGCCATTTTACAGATGATAACATTGAGGTTCAGGGAGCAGGGTTTAATTAATAACTTTCCCAAGGTCACACTTCTTGGAGTTGGGAATTCAGGGATTCTAATTTAAGCTGCCTGAACTCTTCATTTTTTCTTGGTGAATGTTCTGTGAAAAGCTCCAAGCGTTACCCTCTGAAGACCAATTGAAGTGGGGTTCTGGCCTTCCAGTGAGCAGCTGGGTCCAATGCACTTGAACTGTCAGGATGGCCCAGGTGCTGCCATCACTCTCTGCAGGCCATGAGCCACTTGCGTCTGTTCTCTGGGGTGCAGGTGCATACATTTTTGCTGCAAAGTATCAGTCCAGGCTATTTATTTTATGTTAACTGGACCCTTTTATTTACTTGCCAAATCCAGAGGTCCTGAAAGATTCCCCTCTGTGGAAGCATCTGCAAATGACATTAAGGTCATGACTCACTGGCAATTGATATGTAAATAAAGCCTTTTTTTTCTTATTTTTGGCCCCTCTGCCTCATTTTTAGAAATCATGTAAATTATAAGAAAATTAATATTGATTTTTTTTTTTGAGACAGCGTCTCACTATGTCACCCTTGGTAGAGTGATGTGGCGTCACAGCTCACAGCAACCTCCAACTCTTGAGCTTAAGCGATTCTCTTGCCTCACCCTCCCAAGTAGCTGGGACTACTGGTGCCTGCCACAGCTATTTTTTGGTTATAGTTGTCATTGTTGTTTGGTGGGCCCAGGCTGGATCTGAACCCACCAGCTCTGGTATATGTGACTGGCGCCTTAGCTGATTGAACTATAGGCACTGAGCCAAATTTTTCTATTTTTAGTAAAGATGAGGGTCTTACTCTTGCTCAGACTGGTCTCAAACTCATGAGCCCAAGCGATCCACCTGCCTTGGCCTCCCAAAGGGCTGCGATTATGGGCTAGGCATGGTGCTTCAGCCTACCCAGCACTCTAGGAAACTGAGGTGGATAGATTGTTTGAGCTCAGGAGTTCAAGACCAGCCTCAGCAAGAGTGAGACCCCCCAATGTACTCAGCCCTACTATGAAACTAATTTATAGCTTTCATAGGAAAGCTATACCCAACCCAATTTTAGCCCAGAAACATGGGGAGAGGGGAGAGGAAGAGGAGGGGAGGGTGGAGGTTGGGTGGAGGGAGAGTGATTGGCAGGATCACACCTATGGTTCATCCTATAAGGGTACATGTGAATCTCTCTAAATGTAGAATATAAATGTCTTAACACAATAACTAAGAAAAAGACATGAAGGCTATGTTAACCAGTTGGATGAAAGTACTTCAAATTGTATACAGAAACAGTACACTGTACCCCAAGAGAGTATTAATGTACACTGTTATGATTTAATAAAAAAAAAAAAAGAAAGAAAGAAAGAAAAAAGAGTGAGACCCTGTCTCTAAAAAATAGCCAGGGGTTGTGGTGGGCACCTGTAGTCCCAGCCACTCAGGAGGCTGAGGCAAGAGAATTGCTTGAGCCCAAGAGTTTGAGGATGCTGTGAGCTACAACACTACCGCACTCTACAGGGGCAAGAAAGTGAGACTCTGTCTCAAAAAATAAAATAAAATAAAATAAGTGCTGGGATTACAGATGTGATATACCATGCCTGGCTATCACTTAACATTTCCTATCCAAGGCATGGTCACACAGGATTGTCTCTGAAATGTACCAAGCTCCTCCTGTCTGCGGCTTGTTCTGCACTTAACTCTTGTCTCTGCCTAATGGGCTTTTCCTGAATCGCAGTCCTTTTCCTGTCCGTCCTTTAAGTCTCAGCTCAGGCATCCCCCATAAGAACTGCCCCGACCAATCCACAAATTGCATTGCAGCCCTTCATGGCACCTGTCAGCTCCCAGCGCTATCTCGGCTGCTTTTTATAAGGTGTCTGTAAAAACCACAGAGAGTAGCACATGTGGTTACAAGATGCGCCCTAAAATCCACTTGGCTGCCCTTGGAGTTCCCCTGGCCCCTTCACTGGCTGTGGAACTTTTAAGAACCCTTAACCTTTTGGTTTCTTGGTTCCCCTGTTTGTAAAATAGGGAAATATTAAATGAGTTAATAGATAAAGTGCTTGGGATACCTCCCAGCATGTAGTAAGTGCTATGTGAGATTCGGCATGTTTGAAGCAATACATTTATTTTATGAATTATAAAGTTCATGTGCAATTTAAAATAGTTTTAAATTGCATGGTAAATTGCATGTGAACTTTATGTCCACCTTGTATAAAAATAGTCTATTCAATTCTGCTTTAAAAATGAATTTGTCTACATATTAGCCTTGTATTATCTCCCCTAGTAGAAAGGAATTACCCTGAGAGAGAGACTTTGGAGCACAGGCCCAGGCACCCAGTAGGTATACAATAATTATGCATTGATGGAATGAAAGAATTAAAATGTTGCTGTTCCTTTTATCAAGTATGATAATAACACTCCTAGTAGGGCATGGGAAAACCCACACAGGAAGATTTTATGGAGTCTGAATAGAAAGTCCTCAAAGACAATAGTTACTGAGTTATCTGCCATCCTGGTCAGCTAATGTACCAAGTCCTGG